TAATTCAGCGCTGGGAGGATTGCAGCATGCGGGGGAGTCCCACGCCGGAGCAGCTCGGGAAGGGCTGCAGCCGTGGGAGGGAATCCAGTCGGAGGAAGTTAATGACCCATAACGGAGCAGTGTGGGGAACGCTGCAGCCCATGGGAGGAATTCAAGTCGGAGAAAGTTTGTGGAGGACTGTCTCCTGTGAGAGGGGGACCACGATGGAGTAGGGGGTAACAAGTTTTGGACACTCCCCCCACTGAAGATGGAGAAAGTGGCAGCGCTGACTGCACCCCCCATTCCCTGCCCCTGTGCCACTGGGGGAGGAGGTAGAGATATCGGGAGCAGAGCTGAGCCCGGGAAGAAGGGAGGGGTGGGGGGAAGGTGTTCTCAAGATGTGGCAATGCTTCTCACTGTCCTACTCTGTTATGTGTTGTTAGTGTCTGTAATAAATGTATGTTCTTTTTTTTCTTCCCCTAACGAGTCTGCCTTTTGCTCGTGATCATAAAAGGGGGATTTTCCCCCATCCCAGTCCTATCTTGAACCCCAGGCCTGGCTCTCTGTCCCTTCTCATTGCCGGAGGGGAAGGGAGAGAGAGGTGCTGCATTGTGGTTGGCTGCCAATCAGGCCTAAACCACGACATCTTGACACATCTTTTATATAGATAGCCTGGACCAAGCAGAATTCAAGACAAGAGTAAGAAGTTTGGCATAGGAACAAAGGATACCTTTGATAATTTTCCCTTGAAATACAAGCGGAGTAAAATATGGGTAACTTCCTAGTGATGGAAGCTCATAACTGTTGCACCAGAGTAGCTGAGCACATGCACATGCCCTGATAAAGCCAATTAAATGGAAATTCAGCCATGCCACATGTTGATTGTATTAAGAGCCCTTAGACCTTCTACAGGACAGAAAGCAAGTTCTGGATTCCAAAACTGCTTAGAGTAAATGAGAGGTAAGTGATAAAATTTAACTGATATGGTTATCTTAAGACCATAAAGCACCTGGCACTGCTGTATTAAATGGTAGGAAACAACTGTAGGAAACAAAAGCAAGCATAACATTTCTTGGAGAAAAAAAGCTGATGCCTTCAATTCTGCCATTTCAAACCTCTGTAGGAGGACAACGTCTACTTTTCTTATAACTGAAAGGTCTTGCAGTTCATCTGCAGCTAATTTTTCCACGTGTCAGATAAAACTGCACATAGCACATGCATTTTCATCCTACTTCCTATGGCCCCTAGCAATTTAGTGCCAAAATATTCACATGTAGTCATTTCCTACTGTATGATTTCCAATTCCTATTATGTTTATGAATAAATGGTGACTTGAAGCTCTACAGCATAAGATGTAGTTATTCTTATTTCCCAGCTGTTACGCTATGGTGGTAATAATACCACCTACAGCATCTCTGTATACTCTCTAATCTTCTCATCGCCCCAGGTAAAGCTTAGACATGACATCCTTTCGGTCTCAGAGAACAAACTCAGGCAGAGAAAAGACACTCAGCAATAGAAGAACTGCTGCCTTTAATTAAACCACAATGAAGTCTCTAATTGTAGCCCATGGAATAGTCTTTTAAATAAACTCATATGTGTTATAGTAAACACCTGAGATGCAAGGTGGAAGTTGGTCACTAGTTTTTGAAATTAATACATCTTTAAATTGGTTTCTACAAATAACACAGAAAGCATCATTAAAAATGATTGACCTGCTCTGAGCAAAAAAATCAGAGGCTCTTTCTTCTTCCCTCTCCAGTGCAACTAGCAGAGTCTCCTGAGTCTTTTTGTAATCCCCTAGTCAAGCTACAGTAAATTTTCAAGATTTTTCAGAGCACCTGTTTTTTACAAGAAGAGAAATTGATACCAGCTCCAGGAACTTTTTCCTAAATGATCTTAATTTTCAAAATGTACTAACTCAAGTCTAGCTTACCTTGATCAGAGATGGCAGCAGCAACCATGCTATATGCAAGCATTTCCACTTAAAATCTCTGCTAAGACACATACATGGCAGCTCTGTAGCAAGAAAACATATTGTTGCTGTCTCCCTTTACAATATACCATGTGGCTCCTTCCTGTCTGTGGTGGGTTGACCCTGGCTGGATGCCAGGTGCCCACCAAAGCTGCTCTATCAGCTGAACAGGGAAGAGAAAATAGAAAAAAAGTCTTGTGGGTCACAATAAGAACAGGGAGAGATCACTCACCAAATACTGTCACAGTCAAAACAGACTTGACTTGGGGAAAAATTATTTTAATTTCTTAAAAATCAAATCAGAGTAGGATAATGAGAAATACAGCCAGATCTTAAAAGCACCTTTCCCCCACCCCTCCCTTCTTCTCCAGCTTAACTTCGTTCCTGATTTTCTCTACCTCCTGCCCCCAAGAGGTGCAGGGGGACGGGGAATGGGTTTGCAGACAGTTCATCACATGTCTCTGCCTCTCCTTCATCCTCACACTCTTCCCCTGCTTCAGTGTGGGGTCCCACCACAGGAGACAGTCCTTCACAAAATTCTCCAAACTGAGTTCTTCCCACTGGCTACTTTTCTTCATTAACTGCTGCAGTGTGGGTCCCTCACACAGGGTGGAGCCCTTCAGGAACAGGCTGCTCCAGTGTGAGAACTCCACGGGGTCACAACTGAAAGCAAACCTGCTCCAGTGTGGGCTCCTCTCTGCAGGTCCTGCCAGGAGCCTGCTCCAGCGTGGGCTTCCCACAGGGTCACAGCCTCCTTTGGGCACATCCACCTGCTCCAGCATGGGGTCCTCCATGGGCTGCAGGGGCACAGCCTGCCTCACCGTGGTCTTCCCCATGGGCAGCAGGAGAATCTCTGCTCTGGTTCCTGGAGCACCTCCTCCTTCTCCTTCTGCACTGACCTTGGTGTCTGCAGAGTTGTTTCCCTCACATATTCTCAATCATCTCTTCTCTGGTTGAAGGTGTGCAGTTTTCCCCCCCTTCTTAAATACATTATCCCAGGGGTGCTCCCACCATGGCTGATGGGCTCAGCCTTGACCAGCAGTGGTTCATCTTGGAACTGGCTGGTATTGGCTGTCAGACATGGGGGCAGCTTCTGGCATCTTCCCACATAAACCACCCCTATAGCCTTCCAACTACCAAAGCCTTGCCACACAAAACCAATACACTGTCTCACTCGAGAAAATGCCTCATGCAAACCTTCATAGCTTTTGCTTTCTCCCTTTTCTAAGAAGGATCAGGACTATAAAGATTAGTGTACTTTAGCCATAGAAAAAACAAAGAACCCTGTAGTTCTGAAAAAAAAAGACTGGTATAGCGTGTTCAGCTATCAGTTTAAAATACCAAACAGCATTGGGATACCGTACAGACTTACCACATCTTACTAACAGATCACATTGTTCTTAAATATCATTTCTAGATGAGTGAAAATTATCACCACCAGGAATGATGCAAGTTCTCTAAAAACACCAAATAGAAACAGATATTCTACCTGAACTCAAAATCAAGGTCACGTGGTAAACATACACTAATGTGTCACATAGACTGAACATTTTCTGCTCAAATACTGGTTTTCTCATGTTTATGCATCCTGATTCAAACACCACAGTAATGACATAAAAATGCTCAACAGGCCAAGTCTGGTTTAATTACAATTACAGATTAGGTGTCTAATTTCTAGTTGTTCCTTTCACATCCTTTTATTCCAATGTCAAAGAAAATACGTAGTGAGGCATTTATGTTTGCATATACTATCTTCCTGACTCTATGTCCAGCCTAATAAATTAGTGAGACAAGTTGTACAAATGTTGTCTCTGCATCTCTTTTGTTAAAGCTCATTATTTCCTTTTCTTCCTCGTGTAGCTTTCCCATGTTATAATGCATTCAGCATTTTTGCTGTTTTCAGTCACTAGCAAAACAGTGGGCTGGACCTGTACACCAGTGCTGACAGCCAGGAGCAGCACTAGCACCCTCCCTGCACATCCTTCTTGAACAGAAGAATCAAGTTAACATAGTCCAGATGCTCCATGCAGCCAGCACAGGGCAGGGTGGGTGGAAGAAAGCCATCACAGGGCTTCTTTGGCAGAACAAAGACAGAGGGAACCATCTAATGTGTGCAAATGTGCATGCATTTCAAATTTGTGAAATAACTTACAAGAGGAATCTTTTTCAGGAGAAGTGAGGAAGGGGAAGAGAGGAAGAGGAATGTCTGAGCTTTACTAAAGCAAAAAAGCCCAACCCTGTTAGAGCAGAATGGCTGACAGCTGCCTATAATCTAAGTTCAAGCCCAAATAAAACTTCATATTTGCTTTGCCATAAACTAGGTTTAGCGACTTTTCTCACAGAAAGGTGTTTGTGGATCATGCCTCAGGTCCATTTTCAGCAAAGAAAGACCTACCTGTGTAAAGAACAAAGATGATGAAGTCAAAGGTAAATAATGAAGTTGTTACCCACCCCCGTAGTCTAATCACTTAACTATGATACAGACATCAGTATGGCATCTACACTGCTGAATGCAAAGTCAGTAAATAGACAGAAGATTATCCAAAAGTGAAGGAATTTACATTTTGGCTGTTCTTTTTCCTGGAAACATTGGAAAATCTTGCCCCAGAAGGTTGCAGAATCTTCCCTAGAGATCTGCAAGCCTCCCAGGGACAAAGCCCAAGCAACCCAGCCCAAATTTAGTGTTGATCCTGCCATGAGTGGGAGACTGGGCTAGATGATCTTTCAGCCTGAACAATCCTACTATTTTTGTGAGCTGCATTTCTACAAGCTTGAATAGCCTTTAAAGTTACCTTCAAAAAAAACAGAAATATCTATAAATCATTAGAAAATTAGAACTTCATAAAGTTGAAACTATGCCTGTACAACTTTCACTTCCCCGGCTAGCAAACATACTGCTGCAATGAGTGATGCTGCCCCACACTGTGACATCTCTGCATCCACTTCTTCACTACCTAGGAAGCATGAGCTGCCTTATTTCAAACTAATTAAATTACAGGTATCATTCAACCCAATTCAGATAAAGTAGCACAAAGTTGCATGTTGATTAAAATTATTTACTTCAGTTAAGTTTAATGTGCTGGTGGATTTTTTTAATACATTTACGGTAGAGCAAACCACTCAAATTAAACACAAATGGGGATGTGTGTATATACATACATAAAGCCAGTTTATCTAAATAAAAACTTCTAAATATATCATTAAACATCAATTTATGTGTCCAGAAGGCTGTGGCTTGGCCCTCTGGGATCCTAACATCTTATTTTATTAAGCTTTTTCCACATGAGGACTCTACATACAAGTACTGATGAATGAATCTGTAAATACTGTCAATATTACATTTTCTACAGTGTGTCTATAAATCACATCAAGTCATGACAACCCTGAGCAGATATGGCAAGTCACTGAAGTAAGTAACACACACTTTACAAATAATCCCCATTTATTTCAGAAACAGTACATCAAGGAAATATTTGATCTGTGTGCTCACAGATTCCATAAATAGTTTGATAAGCAATTAGTACTGTGCAACCAGCCCACTATTTGATCTGTGTGCCCACAGACTCCATAAATAGTTTGATAAGCAATTAGTACTGTGCAGCCAGCCCACAACAGCCATAGGTTTTGAAGTGCTTAGCAAGATAATAGAACATAGTTTTTCCCATTTTACAGCTGGAACAGCTGAAAGAAAACTCAGCTGATTTGTCTGAGATCTCACAAGAAATCTGTGAGAGCCCAGCTGCGAGGAGGCTCCCAGGTGACTTCACTGCCAGGAGGCCTGGCAGGGCAATGGGAAGCAGAGGCTGTTGGAGAACAGTTGCTCTACAGATGAACCAGGGCTTGCTCAGGCACCCGTCAGAGCGGTTGGGATCATGGTGGTGCAAGGCCATGAGACTTGCACAAAAAGACATTTCTACACAGGGTCTTTGTTTTGGCAATATGACTATATTTATGATTTCTGCTTGACTTTGCATGTTTTGCATTTCAACATAGCACCACAATGTGGAACGCTAACTAGAAATAGCACTTGTTATCCACTCTGTGTGGACATACTGTCTCGGGAGGACTGGGATTTCACAGGAGAATATTTCTACAGGTAGAGATAGAAATGAAGATTGACCTCTTTTGGCATGGATATCTACTCAAAGGGGCTGCAGAGACTGCCCTTAGGGCACGCTTGTAAACTGCCTTTGAGGAACAGTGCATAATTCTGTTTCAATCGACCATCACTGATTTCATAGGCATGGCATGGCACCTGAGCACACACTTCACAGAAGGAAAAGCAACACACAGATGAGCTGGGAGAAGAGAATGATTCTATGGAAAATGCGGATCTTCTTTCCCTTATATCATCCAGTCATATTCACATTGCAAAGATCTTTGTCAGCTCCCACAGATGGGAAGTTTGGGACTGCAGTTGAGGCCACATGGCTCATTTGGTGTCATGCTGATCTCTTGGTTTTGTCCACGAGCTGGGCACTTCCAGTTTTCCTGAGGTAGCAGATACGGAGGTCTTTGTTTCATACTTTTAAGAAAAACAAAAGTGAAGGAGAAGGGGACAGGCAGACAGACACATTGGAGTTTCTTAGGAAAGATGCAAACACACTTGATGTAAAACACATTTCTGAAATACTCCATTGGGATAGACAGTGCCAGCACCTCCAAAAGCAAACCTCACCCTCTCAGAATCACCCTGAAGAACAATTACAGGATTATTGTGGCAAGTTACAAAACAGTTAATCAGAGAGGCATGACCTTTCATAAATAAATGACCAGGCACCTGGCTCTCCAGGGCCCTGAACTTCATGCAGAATGGACACTTCTACTCACTAACATCCTGCAGCAAGTCAAGGCAGAGGAACTGCAGGTGCTGTGCTGTAACAGTACACAGTACTGACAGCAGGGAAGACAGTGCTGCTATAGCGAGGCATTCATAGAATTTATGTGCAGGAAGTATTTATCAGAGGACAAATATACCCACTCTTTCTGTTGTTCTGACAGTTTTTCTGCCAAGCACTTTACCAGGACAGGATCTACTTTGGAGTCAAACTTGTTGGCGAACCAGTGACCATAATTCAGAAGCCATCTTAATTCTGCGGCCCCATAGATGCAGACACTGCGAAGGTGGGTACCAGTGCAGGGAGGATACAAATGGTCTTCAAGATAATTCCATTTCACCAGACGAGTTTTGCTTTGTAGGTCTGTTATGTCCTGGGCTGACCTTGGAACTTCCCCAGGGACGCCAGGAACACGTACGAGAGTGGCCCAGAAATGTTCATCTGGAGAGTATGTATCCCTTGACCACTCGAAAAAATCTTTTGCAAGAGAGCTTTCAAGGGTATATTGAACAAATGCTCGGCTTAAAACAAAATAGGCACTGCCTACAAATACTTCAATATCGTGAGGTGGCGGATTCTTGGAAATGTTGGTTTTTACAGGCATCTGCATGTATTCATAAGGCACCTTCATAAGTTCATAGTGATAGGTGAATCGTTCTTTTTTGCTACTGCTTGGCTTTATAGTTTCCAGCATGTTTCCTCCACCGAGTTTCTTCAGTTCAGTGACCAACTCGAAGTTTGACCTCAAAGGGAAGTCTTGGCCACACAAATTAATGACATACTTCCAGGGAACTGAAGAAGCCATCAAATCAGACAAACAATTGAAATCTGCTTGCAGCCGTGAAATATGTGCATAGTCCACTGTCTCCAATTTTGACGCAATGAAAATATTGGGGAAACATTTAGCTAGATTGTTCATAGCAGCTTTGAAATTTTTTGCTGCTTTTTGGTCATAATGGATGCAGTAAATATTTTGATGACTGTACAGTGAATGTATGAGCCTCTCTACCATCACTGCATCTTTGTGAACAACCAAAGAATAGGCAACTGGAAAACCCTCCTCCTCCGGAGAAACAGGTTTTAGGTGGTATTTCCTAAGTGAACGATACACATGGCAAACACTTGTCATTGCTATGACATCTTCGTCAGCTAAATCAATTATCTCTTTTCTTCTTATCTCTAAACTCTTGCCAATTTCATGGGGATCTTGTTCGTATATAGATGAACAATTAATTTCATATTTGAACTCATTTCTAAGGTAAGAATACCTGTTTCTAACGTAAGAAGAAGTGCTCAAGAAGTGCTCAACCAAATAAATGCCCTTAGAGGGAAAAAAGTGTCTTTCAACATGGAGGAGCTTCAGCAGTGCAATCAGCCACCCTGTAACACACAGGATCAGGATCTTCCTTCGTGAGGGACATTTGTAGGGACACTTGCGTCTCTTCATTCTGCAAGCAGAGACATGATGGTATTTTAATTCAGGAACAAAGCATCGGAGACAATTCCAGCTTCTAGCAAAGATGTGCACCCCTGTTGGTCTACAGCACAAATACCACCTTAGCAGGACAGGGCACTGGAAATCTACAGTTCCTTCTTAAACATCATGTTAATTCAGAAACAGATTTTACCACAATAATAGGCAAATATTTAATTCCCCTGAATTAGCTGAATGAAGGCAGTAAACCAACCTGGATTTCAGATGATTTCCAGCTAAATAAGAGTGTTGGAACAAGACGCCCACTGTTTATTTTCCAAACATTTTAAAAAATTTCTTATGAGTCACAAACCGAAGTACAGCAATCCCTGCATTGGCAGAAACGTGACTGTCCTCTAAATGAGTTGGAAGGATTGTTTATTTTCTCGAGTAACTCCAGGGGATTCAATTGGTGCAGCAAGTGGATCTCTTGTGAGCCTTCAAAGACTGTGTGCTTAACGGTAGATATCAGTATTTTTAAAAAATAAAGAATTAAACTGAGAGCTTTAGAATTCAGCCAGAGCATCCTCATTGTCTCTAACACTGGGGCTGGCCCATGAAGATGTCCAAGGGGAAATGAATTTCCTTCCCGTCCTCTCCCAAAAGGGTCTGAAAAGACTAAAGTACTCCCTGTGTCCAGATTTCTTTCAGAAAATACTGCTAATTTGCCCTGAAGGAATAGATGGATGGAGACATAGCACTTCCACCCACTGGAATGAGTATATAATGTAACCTTCTGAAGTCAGGAGGGGTGGTAGTGAGCAATAGTGCATCTCTTCTGTCTCTGCTGTGTGACACAACCTCGGATGTGACTGCAAAAACACACACACAGCTCCTTTTTTTGCAGCAGGGTATTCCTGTATAGCAAGCTGAGTGGAAGCAGCATTGTTGCTATCCCTGCATTAAAATTAGATCAGAGTCCACAACGAGGTGCAGCATTAAACTTAGCTCTACATAGCTTAAACTAAGCTCTACTTTGTCTCTAAATTGAACAGCTCCCTATATTTTCTTTTGAGAATAAGATGTTCCAGTATGCTTCAGAGGGAATAAAATGGTGAGGCAGCAGAAGCAGCTCGGATGTCTGCAGATCCAATGTATGCATGTAAAATCAAGTATTGAGGTGTGCATGCAACACAATGCAAGACTAACTTAGGCATCTTTAGCATTCCCACCAATGTCAGGGCCTGCAAGCTGTAGCTTCAGTTAAAATGCAACATGTCAAGGCAGAGCTGCTTCATTAGTCTGTTCTCCCTGACTTTCCCTTTCAGTGTGTGTCTTTCTCCTTGATATTTCTCTTCTGGGGGTGACAGAAAGGAGAAGGAAATGCCACCTCCTTGTTTCACCTGGGAGTGCCACGTATAAACTGGAGAAGGCAGTAAGGTAAGACAACACATACCTTATTTTGTAGAAGCCAGAGCTCAGCAGCTCTCTGCAGGTTTTACAAACAGCTTCCAGATACGCTAACAAACAAAGAGAAAAAAACAGATCTATCTCCCCACAAAGCCAAAAATCCCACCTTCCTGCTTAGCCATCAGGTGCTTTCCTTCACTTCTTCTCTAAACTAATCCCAGCTCAGTGACTAATCCAGGTCTCCCCTTTACCTACCTCTTTTCTGTACCTATGCTCCCTGGGATAAGTCACTCTTGAAAGCTGCTCCTAACCTAAGCCAAGTTTCCAGCCCTGCAGAGGGGAACACAGGTAACCTGCCCCCGTTTTTTCTTTGGAGGGAGAAGACCTGTGTGGTGCAAACTCTTTGTGAAGCCTGCCCTGTGCCTCTTGCACAGTGGTCTCCCTGGATACCAAGGACAACCCCTACCACTCCTGGCTGAACAGGGATCACCTCATACAGGGAGTAAATCTTCCCTTCCTCTCTATCTCCTTCAAAAAGGCAAAAGAGAGCCTGGACAAAGGAGGGCAGAAAAAAGCATATTCTCCACTGCTCCAAAACCCTTCTACCTATGGTTGACCTGGCCAGCTTCCACCCAGTGTCAAACATTCTGTTTCTAGGCAAACCAACAAAAAGCCATCGCATCATGCTTCCCTGCCAGAAACTACCAATCTAAACAACTGGAGCCCAGTGCAGTCTGAAGTCAGACCAGAATGTGCAGGAAATCACCTGGACAGCACTGAGGACTCCCTCGTTACAGCTGGTGAGCAAAGGATCCACACTCAGCTCCCTGAATGTTCCCATGGTTTTCGGCACTGCCAACCACAAGACACTATTGTGCCATATAGAGGGTCATAGAAATCCAGAAGACTGTGGTGACATTGTTCAAATTCCCAGTGGAGGAAGGAATTAAGGAGTACTGGTGAGAAATCTCAGCTCCTCCACCAAATCCCTTGTTCATGGAGAATCTCCCCCCTGATCCTGGCCATTATCTGGTCAGATGAGAGCACCAGGAACCAGTACTTACATCCACAGTTCCATTTGTTTGTTTGTTGTTTCTTGGTGATGGTTTGGGGTTTTTTCTGTGTTGTTTTGTTTTGTTTTGTTTTGTTTGTTTTTTTTTTTGTTTTGTTTTTTTTTTTTTTTTGTTTTTGTTTTTTTTTTTTTGTTTGTTTTTTTTTTGCGGTTTTTGTTGTTGTTGTTTTTTACAACACAAACTGTATCACCATCACCACACTGTCCAGACAGAATCAGGCCATGTATGACCCCAACCACTCCTAAAGCACTCTAACATCTCTTCAGCAGTGCAGTTCACCACTACCAATATCCCTCTGTTCCTCCTGCTTCATCCTTATCACAACAAATTCACACTTTCTTCTTGTTACCTCCAACACACTCCACAGCCAGGGTCAGTATATCAGTATGAGGGCAACAGCTTTGTTTTTCAGGCACAATCATTTGCTTCCAACCAGGATGAAGACAGTTCCCGCAAAAGACTGTGATTTCCTTAGGAACAGTACGAGACCTGGGAATGCAATCCCTTGTGACAGAAGGGCCACCACAAATCTCATCAGGTTTTGATTCAAGTGCAAAACTCCTATTTCTTACCACATGCAGCACTCAAAGCCCCACTCAGAAATAGCAGTGTACTGTACACACAGTCCTCTCTGGAGGAGCGGGGAACAAATGACACGCAGCAGACAGGAACAGGCACCTAGAGCTATCTGAAACACCTACCTAGGGTAGCACTGACCAGATGTTACCTCCAGTAATCTTGCTATTGAGTATTTTTTTCCTCAGGTGCTACCATACTATACGCAGGAGCAATGTTCCATCTTTTGCACAAAGATTTCATATTAGGAAGGGAAATTGGCATTGCCATATTGCCTTGTTTTGTAAAATGTCTGCACTTTCTTTTCTACGTGCCAGAAGACTCCCGAGGAAATTAATGGAGGCTGATCTCATTTTGCAGCCAACACGTATTGCACAGCTGGTCTATATACATGCATACACAGCACCTAGTCTGGTCACGGCACTTACTGGCTGGGATGCAAAGTACTGAATTATTCAGAGAAGGTAAATGGGTGCTTTTATTTGTCCTTTGCATCTATAAAGCAAGGGATGTCCAAAGAAAACAGACATGCAAGAAATACAAGGGCAACACATTTGTGATGTGTAACAGACCGCATGTTCTTACACAATACATAATTATAGCCTGTCATAAGGTGCCTTCAAGACCATGAGCTCATCATGATTCAAGAAGGAATTAGGCAATCAGGTTGCTATTGAGAGTTTCCAGAATTACGTTCGCCAATACGTAAATATGGATGGAAAGCTAAATTCCCTGGAACCATGACATCAGGCAACTACCAGCTGGCAAGACTCCTAACAGTAAATTTTTACCAAGAAAAATGTTTCTTGTGACCATCGCCCTGTTCTCCAAATCTGCCTTTATCTCCTGCTGGATCAGAAGAGGCATTTCTAGTAAGAACCATGATGGCAATATTTGTATCCCAACCAGAAAACAGACATGTTTTCCACTGGTGTATTTCACTGCCTTTTTTTTTGTATTTTCCTCCCTGCAAGAAGCTGTTTTGGGCAGCTTTACACCTTCAAACATTTAAAATAATTTGCTGTCTGCAACTGTGCAAGCTGTACAACGACACAAAAGGAGGAACAACATCACGGGAGAATTTCACACCCTCCTGAAAACGTTCAGCCACAGATCAAGTCCTTCTGCTCACTGAACGCTATGTTGGCTTTAGTCAGCAAAATAAAATCTTCAAAGAGGACTGGGCAAAGGCTGAGCCATGCTGCTCTCAAACAGAAACTCTCAGTCCTTGCCTCCAAGGCGTTCTCCAGCTAGGCTCAGCTGTCTGCATCTGCCTAAGGCAATGATGCTGGACTTGCAGAAGCACCAGAAAATACATGGCACTCTCTAAGAGGGCAGTGGAGCTCTATTCTTTCCTCCATGCTTCAAACCAGTGTGCAAGTTTTGTCTTTCGGGTGGCTGCAGAATTCTGCAGTTCTTCTCCTGGGGCTCACACAACACTTATAAAACCCATAAAACGAGAGGATAATCTTTCTCCCTTATGTACTGAAAGTGTTGAAATTTATGAACCAAGCTATGGCCTGCTAAAGGAAGTGCTGGGAAGGAAGGCCAAGATGAAGGCAAAAGTGTGCTGGAAACTGCACATAAGGACATAGACTAGAATCAGACCTTGGTTTCTACTGGCTTGCAGCAACTGGGGAAGAGAGAGAGAATATGGAAATAAGAATAGAGGAAATAACACTTTGGCTAATGCAGCAAAGGTTTGGGAAAGTGAATTGTGGTCTGATCACAGGAGAATATCTGTAAAGACCTGTTGCCTCAACAGTCACTTCCAGCTGCTATCAGCCAGATGCGCAGAAGTTTATCTTTCTGATAAAAATTGTTGCTCCTGCCTACAAACTACTGAATCTTATTCTGATAATCTGTAAACACAAATTAACAGCCAGTGAAGCTTCAGAGTACCTAAAAGTGTGCAAATCCCTGCGGTGGGCACATCACAAACATAAATAGCAGTGTTTGCACTTGCACACCATCCATAGGCAACCTGCTTGGATAAATCAAAATCACCCAAGCTCCTACTGGAACACTGTCACAGAGGTAAAAGTAAAGTGCACCTATAAGGGCCACAGAAGCAAATTGAACCAGTGGCTTTCTGTTGGCTTTTACAATACTGAAACAAAAAGGGGCCCAAACAATAGGCCTCAAACAAAAGTTGACTTCTGAGTGAATTCCCCGACCAGCAATCAGCATCTTATCAGCAGACTGAAGCAACCAGTATCTTATCAGCATGAAGATGTAACCCTGGGAACAATCCTTGGGAACTATAAGTAAACAATAGGAAGTAACTATAAATCCCAAATGTAAAGAAAAACAGAAACTCCTCAGACATGCCCGGATCCTGGCCAGATCCGGACATGCCTGAGTGAGGCATATCAATCTACCAGATATCTCCTGTGCGTTTTGTTTAGACTTGTTTGTTAAACTGTATAAAAGCTGGACCCTCTCACAGCAAAGACGGAGACCTCACCTACGAGTGGATGCCCTGCGTAGGACTTCCCAATTGCCGGGAAAGGCTCTGCGACCCTTCGCTGTGACGGGGCTCCCCAGCTGATGCACGGGTCTGGATGATGGTAAAGTATGAGGGCAATTGGTGATGTATCTTTCTTAATCACTATAGCTAGCTTTAAATAGTAATGTCTAGGTGCATTACCTTGCTTATTCTTTCTGCTATTTCTACTACAGTAAAATTTCTATTTCTACTAAAGTAAAATAAGCCTATTTCTTTAGCTTGGTGTCTGTGTCCTTTGTGTTAACCCCGTCAATTGGCAAAACAAATACATATTACTATAACATAGAAATGTTGAATTTCTATGGAGAGACTGTAATTGATTGAAAAGTTAAATGCTTGCAAGATGAAACCAAAGGAAAGACTGATTAGAGGTAAATTAAAGCCTGCTTTTAGGATTCTTTTGGGAGGGGGGAAATAAAAGTGTTAAAATAATTCTAATTCCAGCTCCACCGACTCACAATATTTCTACACACCACCACACACTTACCCTGTGGACTTCCCTAAGCATGCCCTTCGGCCATAGCTAGTCCAGATCTGTCACGAGCAAAGACTGCAGCACGTCACACATGTATCCAGCTGGGTGCCTCTCTATCAGAAGGATGCAACACTCGCAGCACCCCTCTCCTCCCCCTCTCCTTCCCATGCTGACCCCAGCGCTGCCCAGGCTCCAGGACTCTGCTTTTGGGTGCTGAGAGAGGGACAGGACAGGATTCTGCACAAGAGCACAGCCACCAGCCAGTGCCTTTCTCCTGTTCCTGCCCTTCTCCATTCCATCCCTCCAGGAATCAGCCCAACTCCTGCAAACAGGAATGGGGGTGAGTTTGCACAACCAAGCACTCAAGGAGGGCAGGGGTCCAGGATCTTCACTGGGCATGGGACTTCTGTTCAGATCCTCCCCAGGCTGTCACACAGCCTTTTCACAAAACCTGTCTCCCAGGGAAATCCACCTCTC